TATATATATATATATATATATATATATATATATATATATATAAGAATATAATCTCTTGCATTACCGTGTACATATAAAACGTATATAAAACATTTCCATCTCTCACTGGATCCTTTTCAATATAAGATTACAGAATCAACACCTTGAATCGATTGATTTTGTGCAAATTGGCACGGTTAACAGACTTATGCAGCAAAAGAAAAATTTTAGTTGCTTAGATGTGTACTCCTTAAATTATGTAATGTTCATGACGATAGTCAGGCATTTTGAGAGTTCTGAAAGTTCTTGGTTACTGTGGATTCTATATTGGCTGCTATAGATTCAACATTGGCCCAATGTTTTATGCTGCTCAGGCCGTCTAGAATTTTTCTCTTGCTGCACAAGTCCATGTGTTAATCGTGAAAATCTGTGAAATCGAATGAGTCATGATGTAAAAATTTTACAAAAAAATTTACGTAATTGTGATCTTACGTTGGAGAAAATCTAATGATGAGATGTTTGTATGCTATGTACACGATAATGCAAGATACTATATCCTTATATATATTTCGCACATGATTAGCGCTCAGCTCTTATAGGCAGGTCTTTCTTTACAAAGTTTTCTTAGCTTTTGGATAAATTACGTTCTCTTGCCGGCAAATAAATAGCAATTTGCGTGACAGCAAAATTTTGTCGCGATATTGACGCAATTCATGGCATCTGTCTCAAATATCTTCTTTTATACTACTGTGCCCAAAAAGTAAGACCAATTAAAAATTTTTTTTTTAAATCTTTATTTATTATTCCAAATCTATTTCGTCGCCTTCAAAGTAATCCCCCTCAGACACAATACACTTATGCCAACGTTTTTTCCAACCCTCGAAACAGTTGTTAAAGTCGATTTCCGGAATGGCCTTCAAAGCTTTCCTCGATTCAGCTTGTATCTCTTCAATCGAGTCAAAATGGTGTCCCCGGAGCGGTCTTTTGAGTTTAGAGAATAGCCAGAAGTCACACAGTGCTAAATCAGATGAATATGGTGGTTGTGGAACGATATGGGTCGAATTTTTAGCGAAATGGTCTCGAAGAACCAATGCACTGTGAGATGGTGGGTTTATATCTATCACTGCAGTGTGGGTTTATATGCATCACGTAATACGGTTTCCAATCGTAAGGTTGGAAAAAACGTTGGTATAAGTGTATTGTGTCTGAGGGGGATTACTTTGAAGGCGACGAAATAGATTTGGAATAATAAATAAAGATTAAAAAAAAAATTTTAAATTGGTCTTACTTTTTGGACACAGTAGTATAATTCTTGTTGCATGAGGATGTATCTTTGTTACACTGCACTTGTGTTACAATTTTAACTTCTCAATTCAGTCATTTGTCGCCGAAAGTGGGAGTCGAGGGAGCCGCCTCGCCACGGCGCTAGCACCTACAAAGGTGGTACAGTCGCATGGTTAGGACGTAGCTAGACGACGGAATCGATGCGCGATCGATGTTAGGTTAAGTTAGAATAGTGTATGTGGTACGTGTCGTTCCGGGAAGGGACAAGCTGTGTGAATAAATTTTGCAATTTTGGTTTTCAACAAGTTGGCATTACCGTCCAGACGGGGACGCGGTTTTACCTGAAGCCCTGAATTCCCTAACATTATTCAGTCATTATTCAGTCATTATTCAGACAATATGCTAGATATGTCTATTTGGCTTATCGTTTTCTTTCTAGACCCGAAACAAGCGACGTTGTCTGGCCAATGTAAGCCTAAACATTTCGAATGCATGCCAGGAGAGTGCATTCCATCTCCGTGGGTCTGCGATGGAGAAGAGGTACGATATAGATGGTCTACACACACATACATTTAGTGTAAAATAACGCGACCTATATTTCCTCTAGTTTCTTGAGAGTGCATGCAGGGAAGATAGGATTTAGCAAATGCCACTCGTATGCGTGATTTCGAAAAAGCGGCCGTGTTTGCCGGGAAATTTGCATAACTCGCACAGATGGTGGAATTACTGAAATAATTAAACTGAAATAAGAAGAAAGAAGCGCGCTTTTTCAAAAGAAGCTCTACACGATCCGGGGAGTAAAACTTATCGTGTCTCGCGAATTAAGAATTTTAATAACAGGATGTACGATAAAAGTTGGCCACGGTACATCATGGTAGTAAATACACTTGAGGTCTTGAGCTTCCATGGAACTTTTATTAATTCGGATTTTTAATCGTTAACTTTTTCACGTCGAAGCGATCCGCTGCTACGAAAAGATGGACTTCGAGTGTTTCCGGGAGCTTTCCTGATTAGATAATAATGGTCGCGACTGTCTTACTTGAACGAGATTTGCACGACACAATTATAACAACGTTCAATGCGATATCTAGGATTGCACGAACGGGGCCGACGAGAGGAAATGCGCGGTGGACCTCAGCCTCTTTGAAAAATCGGCGAAGCATAAACTCGAGGGCTACGACGTGGAAAAATGGCTGAACACGCCGCTGAAGACCTGCGCTTTAAGATGCAAAAACGCCGATTTCACTTGCCGCTCCTTTAATCACAAGTCTGTCTGAAAAAAAAGTTATTCAAGTTATTTATTGTCCGTCAAGCCGCGAGCGAGCGCGTTGATGAAAAAAGCTTCGCCTCGTGTTAAAATAGCAAATATATAATTAGCGTTCGCACGCCTTTCTCCGAGCACTCCGCTGCGGCATTCAACAGCAGAGCGGCAATAAAAGTGCACGGAGTTATTTATACACGTAAGAAGGCAAAAAATGCAGATCCTTGTGTAAAAAATAGCTTTTTATAGACGCGCACGTGATGGCACCGTAAACACCGCGATCGTTCACGGGCTAATTGTTTCCCGGTGTAACGCGCAACAGTTCGCAAGTATTTGTCTCGTGAATCATCCCGTATATTTTATTTTTTTCAGAGCGGACGGCAACATCTGTCTGCTTAGCGACAGCAACATCGGCCTCACTGGCGCGCTTAAATCTGACAGGCAGTTCGATTATTACGAAATGACGGAGAGAAGCGTGAACTGCGACGGCATGTTTACTTGCAACAATCACAAGTGCATAAATCAAAGCCAGGTCTGTAACGGTAAAAACGATTGCAACGATCGCAGCGATGAGAGTATTTGCACGGTCGAGAATCTCGATTACGATATTCGTCTGGCGGGCACAAATAACAGTCACGAGGGGCGAGTCGAGGTCAAAGGTGAGCACACATGTCGCAGACGTGTACGAAAAGTGGACGGGCAAACGGTCAAAGTTAAAAAAAGAACATTGTGCATGTATACGTCATACTCTTTAAATTTTTTGGAGCGGAATCTCACTTGAAACGAATGAAAAATGCCATTTCCACTTGAGAGAATAGTGAAAATACTGCCGCTCGAAATCGCAATAGTGAGGGCTTCACTCAGGCTTAAAGTGGATTCTGGTTCAACTGGATTCTTGTGAATATTTCGATCGATTAGAGCAAATATATCTCGGGGATGACGAAGTACATCAGATGCACTCTCCAATTTCGGGTGAAAATATTCGTTCGCTGATTGAGAATAGAGAATCCACACTATATGGGTGAAAAAAACTTTTTTAACAAAAATAAAACACCTTTAAAAATTAAAAAGAAAGTAGAAAAAAGAGAATGCACTTAAAAAGTATGAAATAATTTTGAATCAATATTTTTATGTAGCTATATAATCTTATATATGTACAATTCTACCCTAATATTCTAATGATATTAGAAATCGATGCGAAAACCTGATTGCTTGAGTCAATAATCATACTTTTTTTACGCCGATTTCTAATACCGTTAGAATCCCTGATTAAAATGATGGACACATAACGGTAAAATTCCATTACGTTTAGCCTGAATTGCAATGTAAATTAATTATCATTTTGTTGATTTAGATTGAAGTTTAGGTTAAACTTTATATAATGTGTTACTTTTTTTCGTTTTGTATCCATTATTTTTAACAAGCATAATTAGAATAAAACTGTTTTTACTTTTTCAAAATATTTTTTATACTTTTAAGGTTTTTAAAGACTGCTTTTTTGTTAAAACATTTTTCCATTTTATACTTCCTAATTATTTACTAAAAGTTTGTCTTTAAGTCTTTAAGTCTTAAAGTCAATTAAAAATAAAAGTTTAAACTTGTATCTCTAGATGTTTTCCAAAACTCCATATGAGTGAATGTTTCCATCGATTAGAGCAAACATATTCTTGTAATGGCGAAGTATGTCAGATCCATTCTTTTATTTCGAGTAAAAATATTCATTCAATAATTCAGAGTGAAGAATTCACTTTGTATGAGTGAGAAATGAAGTGACTCGGTGGCTGCTCTCACTTGGAAAAATTTAGAGAGCACTTGAATGTAACTCAACGAAAATTGTATCGAGTGAATACGTGTTTCGCTGACGAAAGATCGATGGGAGGAAAGGATGAAACGAAATTAACGTCTTGGAGACAAGACAGATCGTCTTTGTGGTCCCTTCTAAATGTAGTCGATTTATCGAGCAGTTCTAGGACACTGGGGGCAGGTATGCGACGACAACTTCGGCATGATCAATGCTGACGTCATCTGTAAAGAGCTCGGATTCGTACTCGGCGCGTTGGAAGTTCGACCGGGTGGATTCTACGGGAATCTCGAGCCACCCACGAGATTTATGGTGGATCAGCTGAAGTGTCGTGGCAACGAGACAACCCTACGCGAGTGCGACTTCAACGGGTAAGAATCGGCCGCTCTGTGATCCTTTCGTAGCGAGGTCGATGTGTGGCTGACTTTCTCATACTTTCTCACAGATGGGGAGTCCACAATTGTCAGCCGGAGGAAGCTGTTGGTATCGTCTGTAAGACCGCGATCAACACCTGCCAACAGGATTACTGGAAGTGTGACAACAGTCCGACCTGCATATCGGCGTCGTTCCTTTGCGACGAGGTGGTCGATTGCCCGGACCGCTCCGACGAGAGTCCAGAGCATTGCGATGTGAGTCGAGAAAATTGATTGTCGAGATGATAACAAAACTGATTGTAAGGCTGCGAAGATTGATTCGCGGCTGACCACGCGCGAATTTTCCTTCACTTCCAGGCGCCGTTCGAGTTGCGCTTGGTGGACGGCAACGGCTCTCTGCAAGGAAGGGTTGAAGTGCGACATCATGGTGTCTGGGGCACCGTGTGCGACGATGACTTCACGAGCACCGCAGCGGCGGTCATCTGCCGATCTCTGGGATACGGAGGTAAAGCAATCGCCAAGAAGAACGGTTTCTTTGGGCCCGGTGAGGGACCAATATGGCTCGACGAGGTAATTCATGTTTAATTCATTTTCGATATTTATACTGAGAAAAAGTACTTAAAAATTTTTCTGAGGGATATAAAAGTTTATTTTCACAGAAATAAACTTTATATCCCATAAATAAATTCTAAATTATTTTCTTCTTAATGTGTATTGAGAAAAAAATGCTTGAAAATTTATTTGTGGGATATAACATTTATTTCTGTGAAAAAATTTATTTCTGTGATATATATATATATATATATATATATATATATATATAATTTGTTTCTGTGAATATAAACTTTATGTCCCCCATAAATTTTTAAGTATATTTTTCTCAGTCACTCGTACTCTCAGCGAAGAATTTGCGATCTGAGAACATTCCCTCTTAAGCAATTGTTTCAATTCTTACTACGAATCGCTCCATTTTTATAATTTTCTTCCACTTATATCAAGAAAAAAATACTTAAAAATTTCTTTGTGAGATAGAAAGTTTATTTTTGCAAAATAAAGTTTATTTCTGCACATAAAGATACTCGAAATCTATTTTCAAATATTTTTTCTTAACATAGCTCTCCCTCATTTTCATTAATGTCAATTAATTTGAGTGAACAGATTACAATAGCTAACGAGCAACGAAAACGGCTCGTCGTCATGTTATCACACAGCTAACGCAATCACACGCGTTGGAGAAATAGATTATAGAACGTGACTTCCACGTCATTCTTGTGAAATAGGTTTTCTGCCACGGTAACGAGACGCAGTTGTATCGATGCGATCATAATCACTGGGGCCGACACAATTGCAATCATAACGAGGACGCGGGTGTAATTTGCTCGCCTGGAGACGTTAACGACACCGAGGTAAATCGAAAGCCAAGCTAATCTTCTCCCGCCGTAACGTGACCGAGTTACGTTTTGTTTATTGGATTGCTTTCGCAACAGACGACTGATATCAGATACTGGTCTCCCTTTAAAGGGGAGATTATTATTGTACACGATGTAATATTTAGCGTTTTGATAATCACGACTCACCATGAGCCGGCGACAATCGCGACGCTCGCGATAATTCGCAAATAAACGTCACTGGCGCATTACGTTTGTGCAATTGTTGTTTGTTCATTCCCCGATATTCTGATATTCTCTTCGCCGAGTAGCAGACAATGGTGCCGGAGCTTCCGGATCGAAACATCGACGAAATACTCCCGGCGAATTGTGGTCAGCGCGCCAAAGATTTCAATGACGACGAGGACTTGATATTCGCGAAGGTGGTGCATGGCTCCATCGCATCGAAAGGCACCTACCCTTGGCAAGTGAGTTGCCGTGTATTCAACGTCGAATATCGCATATATACATGGAGAAAAAACTGTTTGCTACTTTTAACTAATTAAACATAGAAATGATTATTATAAATTATTCATGTTTCATGTTTATTATATATTATAATTATAGTTAAGAAAATTATTTTTTATTATATTCTACTGTTAATGATAATATTAGTGATAATAACTCTATATGCATATTACCATTTTCGTGCTAGAATAACCAAAACATGTGAATCGGATAAAACAGTTTTTTCTCTCAGTATAACGTTGAAATTGAATAAGATTGATTTATTTACTTTATCCATGCGATCTTAAGGAGGTTGTAAGACAAAATGTGTTTTTTTACCGTGCAGTAGTATAGTATAAATATAATGTTGTGGATGTTTATTTAGTCAGAGTTTAAGAATTTCAAAGTAAAGAAATTGCGGAGAAGGCGAATTCCAGTTAATACTGATTGTGAGTCAAATCGCGCGGCATTCAGCACCAAAATAACATTCCTTTCGTTACGCCAGTCATTTTTAAAGAACTATCGAATGAAATTCAGGCTAGTATTCGAGTTCGAGGGCACAGCCGATCGAGTCACTGGTGCGGCGCGGTGGTTGTGTCGCCTCTACACGTGTTAACAGCGGCGCATTGTCTGGAAGGCTACAACAAGGGCACGTATTTTGTTCGCGCTGGAGATTACAACACTGATGTGAGTAAATGATCATCATTATCGTCGTCGTCGCGTTATACATGCGAGCGCGTTGCTCCAGCGAATTGCACCCCGCGCCTATACCGTCTAGATCGACGAGGGCACCGAAGTGGAGGCCAACATTGAGGATTACTACGTGCACGAGCAGTTTCGTATAGGTCACAGGATGAACAACGATATCGCTCTGGTGCTACTTAAAGGCCCCGGTATCCCGCTCGGCAAGGATATCATGCCAATTTGCTTGCCGCCCGAGAACACTGAGTACCCGGCCGGACTCAATTGCACGATCAGCGGATTCGGCAGCATCGAGACGGGAAAGACGAGTAAGCGAGTTACCAGAGAGGATTACTTTAAGCTCGCCCGCGTGCGATGAAGCGAAGACTGTTGTTTCACTTGCAGCGCAATCGAAGGATTTGCGGTACGGCTGGGTGCCCCTCCTGGATCAGTCGATTTGCCGGGCCGGTTACGTTTACGGTGAAGGCGCCATAAGTGACGGTATGATGTGCGCCGGATACCTCGATGAGGGTATCGACACCTGCGACGGCGATTCCGGCGGTCCCCTGGCGTGTCATCACAATGGTAATTAATCGTGAGGAAAGATTTGAGGAAGTCACGAGAAACAAATCGATAATAACGGGGCAGATAACGACGGGGATCGCGGAACGTTAACATTTTCATATCCGCGGAAATTGATATTTACGAGTCTTTGTGTCATGATGAGAAGTTGCAACGCTTTACATTCAAAGAGTTTTAGAAAATTATCTAGATACGAGAAATTAATTAAGATGGATGAATGACTATAGCAAACATGCACGATATCGCAAAATGTTTTATACTTAATCAGTGTAGATGACAAAGATAGAATTTATATCTGAATTTTTTATACAATTTTGCAAGAGAGCTTCACACTGTGGCGCACATTCAAATTAAGGTCAGATTAATAATTGGCAAACAGGACTTATTTCTCTGCAGATATTGTTAGAATGCTGCTGCTGTAAAAAAATCTTATGTGCCACAATTTTCTAGCAGACACCAAAAACAGCGATAAATCTTAACTGTGACATTTAAAATTTCACCTCGAACAGCAAAATACCTTTTTGAGTGTGAGAGAAAATGTTTAAATTTTCATAACTGTGAAAATTGATATTTACGATTTTCCTTATCAGAGGATCAGAAGTTGCGACTAGAGATTCTGAAGTTCTGATTCAGAAATTTTCCAAAGATTACATACAGTTTATCTAACAAGAGCGTGACCGACAAAACTTACTTTTATACTTTTGTTATTTTTGTACATACTCTGTAGAAATCTCATTTTCTCAGTTACACTGATATTTGCACGGCGTACTACTGGAAATTTGTAATATTCTTTTCTCTCCCATATCAGGAGCTTTTACTTTGTACGGGATAACCAGCTGGGGTCAGCATTGCGGCAAAGCGAACAAACCTGGAGTTTACGTCCGCGTAGCGTATTACCGACAATGGATTGATCAGAAAATCAAGGAATCGCTCGCGGGCAGGTAGAGCGGACTCGTAGGAGCCGCGATTGCGTCACCTGAACATTTACTGCCTGTCGTTTGTACGAGAGATTTTTCTAAAAACTCCACGTAACGGGCCTGTCGCACATTTACAGGCATCGCGAATAATTTCATCTATACATGGAGAGAATATTTTAGTTTCTTTCCCACTATAAATGTCAATTTCTTGTCAATTTTACTATGTTTCTAGTAGTGCAGGAATAGATTGTGTCAATAAGATCTATCTTGCCAAAGAACACAGTAAATTCGCTAGAAACACAGCAAATCTTTTAATAGCATATTTCATATAAATGTCACGTATAAAATAGAAAGCCGATCCATATTAACAGTTGTTACTTGAAACTTGTCTTAAACGAGACGCTCAGATCTGAATTCAGAGTTAGATGAGAACTTTCCAGTCGCATCGCGACATATAAATGTCACATATATTATAATTCAACTGAGAAACTTTTTCGGATTGTTAATCTCAAAATCCTCCAGTGTATCAATTTTTGAAAAACTTGGATCTCTTTAATTTGAGTAAAAATCTGAATATCACACGTGAAACAAGTTTCCGGTGACTGTTATATCGGCCATCGTTAATTACTGCAAAATATCGATCTAGCTGTTTTTCAGTTACAAAATTCTATAATAATTCCCACTATAAGATTCTCTCAGTGTACAATGTAATTTCATCAATATGTATCACCGTCCGTGAACATAATGATAATTAGAGATACTTACTTCGTCACACTCACCGACCTTCTATCTCTTCGTGGAGAGTCCATTCTGTGATCTATTTATATTTCAACAACACCTGCCATGTGAAAAGCATTAGTGAAAAATAAAACGCAGACATCGTTCACAGGATGGGATCGCAAGTGAAATAACACGAGCGGAGGTGGATTCTGTTAATTTGCAGTTTATTTCGTAAGACATCTTCGTTTCTACAGTAATTGTAATTGTTGCTTTTCTGTCGCTGTTACATGATTGAGCCTATTTCTTTTTATGTACAATAGTCCCAACGTGTCTGATCCGATTCGACTCAAGGTAACAACTCAACGTTGGCTCAACGAATGGCGTTTTATACAGACCGAAACGTAAAGCGTATGCACAGTCGAGAGAAAGTAAACGGATGCGCATTGTATAAACTCGCACAGCTGAATTGGATTATTACAGTGTCGTGTATAGGTTTAGGCTGATCAGACGCAGGCTAAAAGGTTTCTCCCTATTGTGCTCGCTTATCGAATTACTTCCGCTAATATCGACTCTCTTAAAAGGCATAGAGACGAAAACGACGAAGACATATTGATCGGCGTACAAAACAGCGCGATATCAGAGTATCGGTTCAATGTAAAGCATAAGGGAAAGTCGCGCCTCGCGCACGGAACTAACTGCGAAACTGAAACTCTCGCGCCCTTCTGGACGCGTCGCATCAATTTCTGTCGCGCCTGCGAATACACTCGCGAACAAAAAGGAAACTTACAGATCACACGACAGACGAGAGAGTGAGAGGAAAAGAGAGACGTGAAATTCTCCGTTGGCAAGAAACGAGCGATGTCGAGCTGCAGTCTCTCGCGGGATGCGAGATTTGCCGTGCGGATACAACACGCCCGGCATAATATCACACCGCGAGACGATTCGGGAAAAGATTAACCACATCGACCGCATTTCGCCATGGAGATGACAAACAAAGAGTGAATCTGGCTTCGCGGAAAGCCCTACAAAGGAGATATCTTATCTACGTCGCACGGTGCAATTATGAGCTTACATCACTTAAGGGAATGTCGATCGAGAATATGCTTAGCGTGAAAATTAACGTTAAATCTAATAACTCGAATACGCTTAATTTAGGCAATAAAATGGCCCGAGTCTGTGTCGCTGGGAAGTACGTTAATTATTATGAATGATAATTGATAATCATGAATGATAATTAAAAATAATAATTAAAATTATTAATGGTGATTGCGCGCAAGGGATTTCAAGAGAATTGTTATAGAAGAAATCTTTTCAAGCATTCTATGTGGGAAAAAAACTTCTGTTCGAATAACTGAAGGGGGAGCGGACGAAAAATTCGTCGACGAGAAGCGGATTATTTCTGTTATTGCGAGCGAAAACATTCGTTTGAATATTCAGCTGCATTAAAACTCGGTTGAGATAACTGGAGGAATCTTTCTGTTCCTACAATCGAGTTTTCCATCTGGTCCCTAGATGACAGGAAATTCAGTTACACTAACGGAGTTGTTTTTTTCCGTGTATCCCAACGCGGCTTCTTCAGGGCGCTCTGTCGCGACAACGACTCGCGAAAAGCGCACACCAGTCCGTGGCAATGTGATCTTGCGTGTTGTCGAGTAGAAAAAACTTTAGAGGACTGCAGTGCGCTCGCGAGACATGAGTCTGCACGGAAAAAAAGTCCAGTTCGTGCAACTGAATGGGGAGCAGACGAAAAACTCGCTGGCGAAAAGTAATATCTCTGTTATTGCGAACGAAAACACACGGAAAACAAATTGGTTGAATTAATCAGAATTCAGGACATATCAACCAGACTGTTTTACGAACTATATGAATGAACTATATTTTTGGTTAAAGTAACTAGACAAATTATATGTACACTTTTTACTAGAAATTTACTAGAAACTTTTCTAAATAAAAGCTATTTCTTAACGTGTCAGTGTTTTTAATATGTAATTATTTTGTTTAAAATTTCATTGAATCGATGTTATTATTGTATTTGAAAAACTTGCCTTTTATCCTGATGGGAGAACTCAGAATCTCCAGATTGTGAATCGTTTGTCTACACACTGTACTACTTTATTAATTAATAGATTTTATATTGAGTTCTAACCAGCGTTGAAAATATCAGAATATTTAATTATAATAAAATCAATTTTATTGAATTCAACCAAATATCTTGTTTAACCAAACATGTCACGTTAATCCAACGATTGTCCAGTGATTGTTTTTTCGTTAAAACAACTACGTTAAAACGCGGTTGAGATAACTGAAAGCAATTGGCCGAGTGGAAACCTCCTATATGCATCTTCCTGTTCCCACCGAGTTTTTCATCTGATCCCGAGATGACAGAGAGAATTCAGTTATACTAACGGAGTTGTTTTTTCCGTGTCTGGCGAAGTTTGAGCTTCGTGTGAAGAGAAGCGCGTGCAAAACGATTTCTCATAAAACGGAGAATAAGAGACACAAGTTCGGGCCGAACTAACGATCTAATGACTAGATGTTAAGCAAGAGTTACCGTCATCTTCCAATCAATCACTCGAGGATGAACGTACGTACATACTTGTTAAAGTGACGTTAGGCAATCTCGGATTGACCGATCGGCGATTGCGATCGTTGACGCTCTTAGTCGTAGATGCCGACGCGGAATCGGTTCCCGCCGCTTTCGCCGACTCCCGGATTCGATTACGGGCTATACTTTAGATCTAAGTAACGTACAGATACGCATATTAATTGTATATACACACACGACTTTCCTATGTACAGAATCGTTAACTATAATAGAACATGTGTCACACACTATGTGTTGCCGAACGCGAAGAGAAAAGTGACGGCAGGGGGACTTTTGGGCGGCTAGCCCGAAACGGGAGAGTGGATCATGAAGAGGAAGGCAGGGAAGGGATCGCGCACTGAGAAAAAATATTTTAAGATTTATTTGCGGGATATGAAGTTTAACAAGTTATTTTATTTCACAAAAACAGACTTTATTTCACCAAAATAAACTTGATAATTACACAAACAAGAGTTTACATTGAGAAAAAAAATACTTGAAAATTTATTTGAGAACATAAGCTTATTTTTTTATAGAGAATTTTTTATTTCACAGAAATAAACTCTCAAAAATAAACTTCATATCCCACAAATAAGTTTTTAAATATTTTTTCTCGGTGCGAGTATTTTTTCTCAGTGCAAATGTCCGGAGAATATTTTACTCGAAATTATGGGAACGGCATTAGTCCACAATCAACATTCTCGCTTCAGCGACAACTTATTAAGCGTTGCATGTCTGCAATACAAAAGTCGTACAAAAACACACGGTAGAAAAAAGTCCATCACGGGGATACGACGCAGTGCGAGAAGCGGCAAATGAACGGGGGCGATTCCGGATGTATTGGTAGAGATCGAGCAGAAGAGGCCGAGAGAGACAGACAGAGGGGAGAGAAAGAGTTAGGAAGAGAGAGAGAGAGAGAGAGAGAGAGAGAGAGAGAGAGAGAGAGAG